ACGGGGGGACATCGTGGAACGGGGGGGACACGGCGGGGCGGGGGGACACCATGGAACGGGAGGGACACGGCGGGGCGGGGGGACACCATGGGACGGGGGGGACACAGTGGAACGGGGGGGACACAATGGAACAGGGGGAACCACCGCCCCCAGGGAGACACAACGAAGGGTGGGGGCATAACGGAGCGGGGGAGACGCCGCCCCCGGAGCCACTGCCCCCGGGGAGACCCAACCGCGGCTCTCTGGGCCAGCCCCTTCATGACCGGGTGCCCCGGGCTCTAGGGGGCCCTGCCCGGTGACTTCTGCTGGTCCTTTCCAGCCTTATCCGTTCTGTGGCACTTTCTTCACAGAAAGAGGGTAGTCAGGCATTGGAAGGGGCTGCCCGGGGAGGTGGTGGAGTCCCTGTCCCTGGAGGTGTCCAAGGAACGGCTGGACGTGGCACTCAGTGCTCTGGGCTGGGGGACAAGGGCACAGGATGGACTTGGTGGTTTCAGAGGTCTTTTCCAACCTCGTTGATTTCTGTGACTGGCAGGTGGGACCTTCACCCTGAGCACGGTGATGAGCCCGACGGTCCATTAACCAATTAAAAATGGCCCATCTCACACACACCGGGGGGTTGTACAGACCTCTGGTGCCCTTGGCAGTGGGCAGGAGCCCCTGCAGAGGTACAGGGGCTGCACAAGGGGAGCTGCCCAGCTCCCATGGCCCTACAGCACCCACCAGGCACTGCCCCACAGCAACCAGCAGGAGCTTCAGTCTCATCGCAGGGCTCAGAGACCACAAGCAGAGTTTCAGTGGAGCAGCAGCAGAGCAGCATGAGCAGTGGCTGTGCCAGCTCCCACCTGGCATTTGTGCCAGTAAAGGCCCAGTTGGTGTTTGCAAGGGATTCACCATCCCTGCAGTGCTTGGCCCTGCCAGCTCAGCATCAGGCAGGCGTGGCTTTGGCAGAGCCAAGCACGGGCTTCTTGGAACTTCGCGGCACCCAAGGACAGGAACAGCCAGTGACTTCACCAGGGCAAGGGCGTAGGAGGCAGGGTGAGCAATCAGGCATCTCCCCTTTTCCTCACAGACTGACAGGCTCCCTCTTTGGAGAGTGCTGATTTCTCCTTGTGCAGGGCAGTGCATTGGATCACAGGGTGGTATCTGTGTGTCACGTAATAAAACCGCTCCGGACTTTTTCCACTTCAAGATTCCACTCCAAGACTGGTTTGGGGTTTTTTTTAAATCTTTGAGGGATTGAACAAAATCGCAAGGACATAGTTAAGCATTAACTTGCTACTGCCTCCCCTGTAATCATGGAACCAAGCAGACATTCCTGTTCCCCCACTGTAGCAAATATTATATAATGGCCTCTCTTTTGATACTAAGAAAATATGAGTGTTGTCTCCTACATTTCATAATTTCACAATGTTGGGTTACTCTGTGTTCTTTGGGGCTCATCCAAGCTCAGCTGAAGTGAAGGGGAAAGTTCCTCTGCCTTTCAAACCCCAAAAGTCTCTAAGGGAAAAGCACATACGGGAGCATTCTGGGTGCTTTTGGCTCTTTCATAACCTTGCCGAGACCCACCTGGGCGTAGTGTGAGAACTCAGCCAGTCCAATGCATCTCCTGGGAAAGATTTCCAGCTCCCTGGGGAAGAACAGCAGTCCCTCACATTTGCTATGTCTCAGACTTCCTGAAAGGAAGAGGTGAAAGACAGAAAAGGTCTGTGAGTCTCTGGAAGATAACACCTTACCCAGGATACAGCAGCTCAAGGGCCTTCCTGAGACTCCTGCCTACCCAAATGCATCCCCAGCCAGGCAAGGTAAACTGATACTGTAAGTCCTGAGTTTGTTAGCTCAGGCTAATTTCTCATACTCCATGTGCTCCTTATCCCAAGTGAACTGGTGCACAATAAAGCCTATAAGGGTCTTTTATATTGTAGCATTTTTGTATTTGTACACTACTCGTGTTGCATCTCAACATCCTTAATTTAACTCAGTGTTCACTGAGCAAAACTGCTCTGTCCTTTCCAGAGCACAAAGGGAATCAGCCATACTACTATTTACAGGGTAAGTCGCAGCAAGTTAATGCTTAACTATGTTATTGTGATTTTGTTCAGCCCTTCAGGACTGTTTAAAAGCCCATGTGACTGAAGCACAGCTCTCTTCCACCGCATGACTGATTGGTGTTTGGCTCTGCAGTCCCCTGCCCTGATGTGCTCGTGCATGTGTCTCGTGCCTGGGTGTCCAGTCCTGCAGCAGAGCACCTGCACTTCTCCAAAGTGACCAAGTGCACATCCTGTCCTGCACGGCAGGGGAAGGAACTGGGAGGCCAAGAAGGGAGGAGTCCCACAAAACAGGCTCAGGTCAGTGCATTGCTTGGGTAGGAGGTATTTGCCCTTTTGGCTGTTGCCTGCCTACAATGACCAGTGAGTAATGTTTTTTTCCTGAGTCAACTGTGATAATTTAATGCCATTGAAGTAGTTCAGTTTTCCTCTCCAGGGAAATGAGGAAGAATGAAAAGCATTCTAAGGGGCTGTGGATGACAGGGTTGTTTCCCTCATCCTCTGAGAATGGAATGAGAGGAGCTTTTGAAGACTTTTATGTCAGGTGTTTTCTGGTGTTTTTAGAATGTACTAAAAGTTTTCTAGCACATTAAACGATCCTAAAATGAAGAGGTACAGCAAAAGGGAGGCATCAGTATTTGACTTTTGGGGAGGGACAGTGTGGGACAAGGGAGGTACAAGGAGAAGTGCTGGGAGACAGTGTTTGTGAAGGAGAGGGAGATATAATGGAGGTGCAAGTGTTCCAGCTGAGATTTTGAGATGCCCCATGAGGGCATGTGGGGTGGCAGGTCAGTGTGTGTGTGTGACTGAAGGGAGAGGCTGCTGCAGCCAGACAAGCTGGGAGCTCTCTGAGGAAAAGGCTCCACGAGGTTGGCCTGAATATCACAGGGCTCACCTGCAGCAGCGTTCAGGTATCTCTGGGTGCCTCCTCCACAGATGGTGTCTGATAAATGCAACACGATCCAATCTGCAATGCAGGAACACACACTGCCAACAAAGGGCCTGCTTTGGGCTGAGGCGCTGGCGCTGCAGCTGCACCAACAGAGCTCTTCTCCCTCTTATTTGTACCTTTTCCCTGAGGAAGCTGCTTTGCCAGAGGGCACCACTGATGGCCCATGAGGGCTGGAAACCTGCTGGAGCAAAAGAGATGAAGTGACCCTCAGTAAACTTGCACCAGTCCTGCATTCAGCTCTGGGCCCCTCACTTCAAAAAGGATGCTGAGGGGCTGGAGCCCATCCAGTGAAGGGCAGCAAGGCTTGTGGAAGGGAAAACAAGTCTTATGAGGAGCAGCCGAGGGAGCTGGGGCTGTTCAGTCTGGAGGAGGCTCAGGGGTGACCTCAGCTCCCTGACAGCACGGTGTGCTGAGGTGGGCGTCCGTCCCTTCTGCCGTGCCTGCAGGGAGAGGGCCAGAGGAAATGGCCTCAAGCTGAGACAGGGGGGACTCAGTAAAGTATTAGAAAAAAAATGTTCCCTGTTAGGATGGTCAGGCATTGGAGTGGGCTGCCCAGGGAGCGGTGGAGTCACCATCCCTGCGGGTGTTAAAGAGGCGTCTGGATCCGGTGCTGGGCGATGTGGGTTGGGGGTTACGGTGGCAGTGCTGGGCTGATGGTTGGACTGGATGCTCATGAAGGTCTCTTCCAACCTTGACGATTCTACGATTCTATAATCGTTCGTGGATTTCATGAGGGGAAAATAAAAACCACCGTCCGCGGTGGCTGGCGAACCGCAGGCCGGGGCTGAGGCGGGGGACTGGCGGTGAGGGAGAGAGGGAGCCGGGGGCTCGCTGAGGCGGGACCCCCTCCTCCTCCTCCTCCTTCTCCCCCAGCTCCTGCTCCTCCTCCTCCTCCCGCTCCCGCTCCGCGGCTCTGGGCGGGCCCGGCCGTGCGGAAGGGGCGGCCGGAGCGGGCGGCGGAGCGCGCCCAGCGGCGGGAGCGGCGGCTCGGCTCGGCATGGGACGGGACGGGGCGCTGCCGCCGCGGGTACCGGAGGGCCCGGGGCGGGGGGTCAGGGTCCCGGGGGGTCGGGGAGGAGGAGCGGGGGTCGGGGCGGAGGGGCGGTGGTGGGTCGGGGTCCCCTCAGGGCCCGCGCGGGGGGCCCCGGGGCGGTGTCGGTCGGTGAGGAGCCGGCGCGGGAGTGGCGCTGCCGAGTCCGGGAGCGGCTCTCGGGGTGTCCCTTGGGGTCCGTCGCGGTGTCCCTGAGGGTCCGTCTCAGTGTCCCTGAGGGTCCGTCTCAGTGTCCCCGAGGGTCCGTCGCCGTGTCCCCGGAGGTCTGTCGCGGCGTCCTGGGAGGGTCCGTCGGGGTGTCCCCGGAGGTCTGTCGCCGTGTCTCGGGAGGGTCCATCGCGGTGTCCCTGAGAGTCCGTCGCGGTGTCCCTGGGGGATTGCCGGGGTGTCCCTGGGGGATTGCCGGGGTGTCCCGGGGGGCTGCGGGCGCGGCGGTGCCGGGACCCCCGTGAGGCGGTGCCGCTCTGCCCGCAGCCCCCGGCGCTCCGCCGGGTGGAGAGGCCGGGGCTGGGAACGGTCCCGGGAGAGTTTTCCCCGAGGGCTGAGGCGCAGCGGCTTTTGAGCACAGCGTGTTCCCAGCCCCGCGTGTCCCGCGGTGCCGGTGGCTGTGTCGCCGGAGGTAACGCCGGTGAAGGATCGCCCCTCCTCAGGCTGCGCTGGTTTTGTGACCGCTCCTGGGAGCTGGACCTGCGATTGTCCTCAGTGCAGTTGTGAATGACTATGTGGGCATGAAAGCAGGGTTTAATTTTTTTCCCTCCAAGTTTTTCTTCATGAGCAGGAAAGGGAACAGCTTTGGCTGCAAGACTCCCTGTTTCACGGGCAGATGAATTCAAGATTAATTTGACCATAAACTTGTAAAACTGAGATTGAGTAACAAATGGAATGATTTATGAAGGTGTTCCTGCTGGAGTAATTCTCTCTGCAGGTTATCAGACTCCACTGGTCTCGAGTAACGTAAATATTTTTAAGCTTCGGACTAATTATATTACCTCTGTTTTTCATGCTGAAGAAAGAAACCTTGGGAGATGTGCTGTTTTGTGCTCCCATCTTCCCAGTAAACGCAGGCTAGGGAAGGATCCAAGAGGCAGGTAGTCCCCAAGCTGTTTGCTATTGAAGTGCTGCCTGCAAGGCTGGGTACATTTTCCTTGGTGGTGGTCTCATGCCTTTAGGCCACATGGTGTGATGCCTGCTTCGGGAAATAAATCTTCCAAGCGCTTACTGAAAATAGCCACCTCTTCTCTTGATTATTCCTTCTGAATCTCCCAAACTTGGTAGATCTGCTCGCACAGGTTGTGTGTGGAGAAGCTATTTTCCTAAGAACTTTGAGGAGATGGTCAGTACTGTTAGACTTCTTTTAGTTCTGTAAAATTATGTATTTAATGTCTGCTGCATACTGAGAAGTTGAAGCAAGAGACAGTGGTGGGCTGCTTGTTTTTTTCCCCGGTGTTTGTATATCTTGAAACGGTAACACTGTGTGTCAGTTGCAACTGATTTATATTTGCCTTAATATAAAACGAAAGAGAAAAGTCGAAGTTCCCTGCTGGCACAAGGCCAGTTTCCATTACCTAAACCTTTGCAACCACTGTCATGTGTCGTATTATTTTGTGCTGTTAACTTGCACCGAGGTGCAATGTTAAAGGTAGCTGCGGGCAAAGTGCCTCAAATTACAGCTGACCAATGTGTGACTGCCAAACACTGCAGAGATTCACTGCAAAAGCATCTACTTCATTTCCTTCAGCTGCAACCTGTGGAGCAGGTGATGAATAATGTGGTTCAGGCAGCTCAGAAAGCTCTGTGGTGGAGCCCTGCGGTCTGACGCTCACTGCTGGTAGCCCTGCAGGTATAAATATGATGCTGCACAGTGGAATTTGTTTTCCCTTTCTTTTGAGGGGTGGAGTGAAGGTTGGTTGATTGTTTTTTGGTTTTAGTGAGGACAGTTCTCCATGAGGGAACTTGTTCCCCCTTGAATTACACAGAAAACCTGACTGCAGGTAACTCTGAACTTGGTACCTCCTGGTGCAGGACAGAGGTTGCTTTGCCTTCGTTGTGTAAATGTTTTCCAAGACTGATTTGACTTAAATGCCTGTGTGCTGTTCTTCCCCATAAGACCAGGCTTTCTCCTGCTATACTGAACTTTTCTGAAGGCTAAATTAGAGCTTAGATTCTGTGCTCCAATTCTGTCAGAAACCGGACAGTAAAGTAGAACTGTGGGAGGAAGGGAATTATTTCATCCATAATTAAGTTAGTTAAGTGCTGTCATAAAGAACTGTTGTCATGTGTATTAAGGGATAAGATTCTTCCACCAGACTTCAGTGCTGTATTTGCTCTGGTGCTTCTGTCCCTGGGTCTGGTTTGTGGAATTTCTGCTGTACGACTGTCAGGGCAGTTGTGATTCAGCAGGTGCTTTGCTTAGACCATGTGAAACACTCTGTAGTGTCAAATACTTTAGAAAATCAGGCCTTGAGCACCAACACCTGATGTATTCCCTTTGCAGTGTAAAATGAGGATAACACTGGAAAATAAGTCGATGTTTGAGTAGCATGTAAATACTCTACTGATGGAGAAATTAATAATTCTGATTGCAGAGTAGTGTATGAATAGGATGCAGGAGGCAATACCTGAGGTCACACATGTAAAACACAGGCTAGTTAACAATGACTGTTCAATGAACATGCAGCTTCATGAATGTGACTTGGCTGTTCACCTAAAATAAGGGAGTCTTTACATTTATCTGGTTTTCAGTTTGGTTTTTTCTGTGTGTATCGCTTGTCTTTTTAACCTGGTTCTGTTTGAATACACGTGGAAAAGAAACAAATGGAAAATTTTGTTTGTTTTGTAAAGCTCCCTGGGTTAGTAAAGATACAGGGGAAATTACTTCCTCTGTCTTACCGGGGCGACAGGCTAAAACACCCTTAATTTTCCTTGGGAGAGGAAAGGGGGCAGAAAAGTTGTGCTCCCTTAAATGCTGTGTTGCTTTGATCTCCCCGGTCTGTGCCTCTGGGGCGGCTCACGGAAGGCACAGCAGAAGGAGCTGTAGCAGTGCCAGACCCGTTGGATGCCAGGACATGCTGCACCTTTTGGTGTAATTTGTTACATTTCAACAGCTGCTCCTCTTCCCAGTGCGAGAGGGAGCCTGGCAGGAACGGGCTTGTGGAAGGTGTGACTGCAGGGAATGACTGCCTGCTCCCTGCTCCTGGGATTGTGCCTGGAGGAGAGATGGCAGTGCAGCACCCAGCCAGAGCTGACCCAGGCAAGAGCTATGGTGCTCCAGCTGGGAACCACCCTGGAGAAATGATC